ATGAATTTTTATTCCTTACTTCTAGTCTGGTTTCTACTCTTTTGGGGGGGCAGGGGAAGGTACCGGGGATTTAACTCAGGGGCACTTGGCCACTGAACCACATTTCCAGTCTTATTTTGCATTTTATTTGGAGATAGGGTCTTACTTAGGGTTGCTTAGCATCTCGCTTTTGCTGAGGATGGTTTTGAACTCGCAATCCTCCTGCCTCAGCCTCCTGAGCTTCTGGGATTATAGGTGTGTACCACCTGCACCTGGCCTGGTTCCTACTCTTAATTTATAATATTCCCGCTTTACCACATGTGTATCTTGTTCAGATACTCCTTGACTTACAATGGGATTACACCCAGATAAACCTATCATAAATTGAACATGACTTAAGTAGAAAATACATTTATTATACCTAACTGACTGAATATTATAGCTTAGCCTATCCTACTTTAGCAAGCTTAGGGCACTTACTTTAGTCTCTAGTTGAAAAATGCTCAAGTTATAATGAAGTATTGAATATTACAGTAATGTATTGAATACTATGCTGAAAGCAAAAAACAGAATGGTTGTATGGGTATACTTTTATACCATTATGAAATTGAAAAATTGTCAGGCAAACCATGGTAAGTTGTGAACAATCTCTATATTTCATCCTACAGGAGAGATTTGGTCCAGCCTTAACTTGTCCCAAAAGGCTACCTATTCATAATTACTTACTGAATCTAAGAATTTGGGATGCATATGCTTCTTGAATTTTCCCCTACACTCTGCTTATAGAAGAGGCAGACCTGCAATGTCACGCACTTTTAGTACAATTTGATAAATTGACGTGATTAGGTACAGTATTTTATGGGAGCACAGAGAAGGGTCACCTTCTTTTGCCTGAGAGGGTCAAAAAGTGTTCCCCAGAGAATTGAAGCCCTGGTTAGCTCTTAAAGATTAATCTTGGTCTTCCAATTGAACAAGATGGAAAGTGTATTTTTAAAAGTGCAAAACTCAGTGAAGGGCAGGCCCTTGTCTGTCCTATTCAACACTATATCCCTGTCACCTAACACAGAATTTAGCACATCGTACACACTTCAGTATTTAGCGCATCAGGGAACTTTATTTTGAAGGATGTTGAAATTGGTTTTTGAGCAGGAGTACAACATGGTAAGATCTGTGTTTCATAAAAATAGTATGGTAGTGTTATAGCAAATGAATAAAAAAGGAAATGAGCTGAGCTACTGTAGTAACACATTCTGCAAAATCTCCTGGGAGAGATTCCATTTAAGTGATCCCCAGCCTCATTCCAGGTACTTAGAGAGTATGTCCTGGGACTGAACGGATGGTAGTTTCTCAAGTTTGCCTTTAGATGGAACAGTCACTGCTTACCTTCATCCCTTGAAAAGGCCTAAGAAAAGTTGGAAGTGATTGACTGCATATTGAAGAGTTGCCTTCTCAACTCTGTACAAGAGATAAACAGCTAAATTTTCCAAGTGTCATGTATGCAATAAATACAAACTAGTAGTTTGTTGTGCATTTATTTTTTAGAGTAGTTCCATGAAACATCAGTGCTAGGAGTAGTAACCTGGGTTACTATGGTTAATTCAACAATGTGTGATTCTTGTTTTCAGAGTGAAAAACTGGAGAGAAGTCAATAAAGGCTTACAGGATCTTGTGTTCCTGTGCAACAACATGAGTACAAATTCAGTGCCTAAAGTAGTCATTCTTTAGCTCACAGTTTTGCAGCTCAGCAACCCAACCCTACCTGGTTGGGATCTCTGCTCAGGATATGAGACAAATCAAGGGTGGTCAGGCTGAGTTTTTATTTGTAGGCCCTGGTGGGGAAAAAATCTATCTACAAATTCATCTTGTAGTTATCAGAATTCAGCTCTTTGTGAAGCAGGTCCGTGTTCATTATTGGCTTTAAGTTAGGTGTCTCCTATATTCTAGAGATGACCTCTATTTCTTGCACATGGCCTCTTCTATCCTGAGTCATGGTGTGTCAAATCTTCTTACTTCGAATCTCCATCTTTGACCTCTAGCCTAAGATTTAAAAGACTTGTGTGATTAGGTTAAATTCTACCTAGATAATCTGTCTTAATTTTTTTTTTTTTAAGTAGAAAAGGCACACAACAAACCTTGTAGAGAGTTTTAAGGAATTTTGAGATAAGACCAAATAAGTTTTAATAGAGATTTGTTTATAACTGGTATTTTAGCTCATGATCAAAAAGGTCAGGTGCCTGGTGGCAATCACTTCTCTTTATGGTGAGGTCTGATTCAAACAAGACCTATCTTAGATATAGCAGTTATAGTCCCTCTCCTCATGAAAGCAGAGCCCTCACTCTGTCAGTAGGATAGTGCCAGTAGGGTGGTACTTACCACTTCTAAAGAAAGAGGATAGAAGAAGAGGACATCTTCCTTCAGGTTCTTTCTATTGAAGGACAGATCAAGATTGGAATAACTTATCCCCCAAAATATCAAGTACTGAGAATGTGAAGATAAACATGAGAATCTACCTGCATTGCCAAGCAAAAATAAATTGAGAAGATTTGTCAAAGTTGATGCCTCTGAAGTTCCCTTTGAGAGCCACCAAGAGATGTCATGGGCGTGGAGATGTCTCTGATGAGTTTCCAAAGTAAAGGAGGAACCTGAGTTAGGACCAGTGAAGTTATTTTTTGGTACTGGGGATTGAACTCAGGACACTCCACTACTGAGCCACATCCCCAGCCCTAGTTTTTGCTTTATTTAGAGAGAGGGTCTCGCTGAGTTGCTAAGCACCTTGCCATTGCTGCAGCTGGCTTTGAACTTGCAATCCTCCTGTCTCAGCTTCCCGAGCCACTGTGCCCAGCACCAGTGGAATTCTCATCATATGTGTCAGAAAAGAATTTCAGCTTTGCCTGGCACAGACATAGCCTGGTTTATTTATGAAAGTAGATACATTTTCAAGGAAAAATGGGAACAATCTTGAGAGAGATATACCTTTGATGTAAAGCAAGAAATACACATTCAAGGGAAAAGGGAGGGAAAGAGAGCTCCTGAGGAAAAGACAGCCAATAATCCTTTTTAAAGTCAACTGTGTCACTAATACAACCACTCATGGGGCAAAAGTTCATCATACTCAGGTTTCCAGGGATTATGCAGAACGTATTTACCAACTGGGCAGATCTTGAGAGCCATCTTAAAGTTCTGTCTACTAATATTTGTAATGGGTTTATTTCTTTAAAAATTTAATATTATAAGCAATCTATTGCATAGAATAACTCATATGCTTAGAAGAAACACAACATTTAATATTTTGTTTGAAAAACGGAGATTAAAAGTCTATCTTTTTATTTTTTATTTGAGTTGTAGGTGGACACAATATTTTATTTATTTATATGTGGTACTGAGGATTGAACCCAGGGCCTCACATGTGCTAGATAAGTGCTGTACCACTGAGCCACTATCCCATCCCCTAAAAGTCTATCTTTTATTGAAGTTAATTTTCCAAGATCTGACCTCAATAGATCTATCACCAATCTTTGCTTGTATGTGATCCATTCAATTCTAAATATGACTAAGCAAAATTAAGTCCCGGGCTGGGGATATAGCTCAGTTGGTAGAGTGCTTGCCTTGCATGTACACCCCTAGGTTCGATCCCCAACAACAAAAGAAAAGAAATCAAATCCCAAAACTTTTTTATATTTATTACAGGGAACTTGGGAGGTAGGGGAGCTTCTACTGTTTGTGCAAGGAAAAATAAACAATGGCGTATAGTGTATACATAGACCCCATCTGGTCAAAAGAGCTTGTAACCATGAGATCTTTGTTAAGTTCACTGGAGTGGTAAAGCTATTTTTCAAAGCTTTCTGGACTCTCTGGACTCACAGAGGATGGGAAAGTTTGACCATGGTATAGTTAGTCATTGTCAAAGGGAGCCACCTCTCCACATAAAATCACCCTCACTTCTGATATCAGTCCCAAGTTTTGGGGTTCCTAAAGCCATTCTTAGGTTTGACAGTTTGCTTCAATGACTCACAGAGCTCAATGAAACCTATTATACGCACAGTTACTATTTATTATAGGGAAAGGATACAAATTAAAATCAGCCAAGGGAAGAAGGCAGAGTCTGGGAAGTACCAAGCACACAGCTTCCTTCTCAGGAAATGTTACATTCTTGGCATCAGCATGTGACAATATGAATATGCTGGGAGCATTGCCAACCAGGAAGATCACTTGAGCCTTTGGTATCCAGAGATTGTACTGAGACTCCAGCACATACTGTTCACCTGGCTGACTTTTGGTTTCTAGCCCCTTGTGGGTCTTGGTGTTGAGTGCACACCTTTAGTTTCCAGCCCCTTGTAGAGGCACAACTGATACCAGGGCCCAAAGTCTCCCTTGTAAATCACACTGTTAGACTACAGATTGTCAAAGCCTCCAGGCAAACAAAGATGCTCCTATGACATTTTGAATTCCAAGAGAATATCTCCTAGTAGCCTGAGGCAAAAGCCCATCTCTTTTGGGCAAGTTTGATTCTTCATACATTAAAGGCAGGGAGGGAAAGAAGAAGGAAAAATCATCATTTATCATGTGTTGGCATGTTAAGCTTTGTGTCTCTTAATCCTTTCAGCATTATTAGAAGGACACCACAATTATCCTTATTTCACAGACAGTGGTTTTAGCAAAACCAAGTAATTTATCCAAGATCAGGAAAATAGTAAGTGGCAGAACCAGGAATTGATCTCAGTTAGCCTGACTCCAGAGGACATGATCTCAAACACTTGACTGTATTGTCTCCACCAAAGCCAAAAGACCATAATAATATAGAAGGATATAGAAATGGGTTATTCTTGAGAATTGAATTTTTAGAATAAAGTTGCCATTCAAATTTATAACAATGTACACTGTGACTTTAATTGTATAGGATACAGGGGAAGACAGTTGATGTATAGAATGGTTATTTCATTGAATTCATACCTTCCAAGTAGATTCTGGTCTGTACTTAATCATTTAATTCAAAAATTTGTTGGGTATGTGTTATATTCCAGGTGCTGTGCTGGCTTCTGGTGACCCAGAGATGATGAAAAATATGTTCCTGCCCACAAGGAGTTAGCGATTCACTGGAGTATGTAAAATACTTCTTTTAATTTTCAATATTATTTTTGTTTTAAGCACAATGTAGATATCTTCATATATATAAAAATATTTTGAACCTGGATTTTGCCAATATTTGAAATAATTTCTTGAACTAATGCTAAAGAAGGTTGAATAATTTGGAGACTACTGTTTATATAATCAAACCCAATAGTTAATTTCAGGTTCAAACTTTTAATAGCTTTTGTAGGAATAGCGTAGATATCAAGAAAGCAAAAACTACTTAAAAAAAACACATTCAGACTTGTATGTTTCCTACATCGTGTGTATTTGAAGGCAGATGAAGGGAGTGCCACCAAAACACATCAGAGCTAGCCACACTCTGTCCTCTGCATGCCTATAACTGACTAGCCTGTTCCTGATCAGTTATTTTAGTGATAATTGTTATCTTTGATTTTTTCCTACTTCATCAGTTGCTCTGAATGACCAAAATCTCTATTGGGTTAAAGCAGAGTTAACTTTTTTTAAAAAATATGTATTTTATTTGAGTCATGATAAAAGTTGTGTTTATAATATATACATTTAAAATAAACCAGGAAGTATGTTGAGAGTAATCTTGAAGAACTAAATACAGCAAATGCAGTAAGTATAAATGAGAAAATATCTGGGTGTAGAATCAGAAAATAAAGTAAGAAATTCAAGTTGCACTTAATGTCCACTAGTTGATACTGATGCTACACAACTCTAACAGTGATGTATTTGGACATACTTAATAGGTGTATTAATATGCTATCCAGATTAAACATCATAACTACTGAGAGTGCAGTTCTAATCATCTTAAAACATGAGCAAACCAGAAAAGAACATGTCTCTTTTCTTGGCAATATGATTTTAATTTTTAAAAGCATTTAATTTCACAAACCATATTCATCATTTTTGCATAGATAAATGTTGTGGCAATTTTTTGAATGAACATTTTGGTTTCCTAAAGAAATTATGGGTACACTATAAATTTATAAATGAAAGGCCATTTATCAGAGTTATAAATATAAGTGGTTCCTGTGTTGATGCCTGTGTAAACGGAAAGTGGTTTAATATCTATTGGTTTTTGTGAATAGTTAGCACTGCAAAAGAATATAGATATTGTCATTCTTACATGGTGTCATAACATTGGCAAAGTGGTGAGAACAACATGCAATATTTTTTGAATAGCATGGCATTTCTTTAAATTACTGCTGGCAATAGAACATAAATCAGCCTTAATGATGGATATTCTAAAGATGTTTATTAATCTATTCATTTAATCTAAAATACGCACTCTTGGCATTTATAGAGCCAGTTCAAAGGAAGTGGCAACCATTCTAAACACCAGTCATTACTTTTACGGGTTCCATAATTATGTCAGCAAAGTCTGGTTGGAATCTAGATCAGAATGCATAAAAATCTATTCCTCCTAATCTATGCTGAAGATACTTGTTTAGCCAAAATATATTTTTCTTGTATGTGTCTAAATAAAATCTCAATTTGTTCCACTTTTAATGAAATGAACTACATGACTCTCCATTTGAATCCTGTTTTTAAATCCCATTTTTCTTTGTTCCTGCCTCCCTCCTGCACTCCCTCCCTGTCTCTTTCTCTCAACTGCAAAATAATCTGCACTGTGTAAACTTGGACTGAAAAAGACTGGAAAACTGACAAAATTCCTCTGTTCCAAATTAAGAAGTAGTATATGGTATGTGATTTTGACAACATGTAATGGAATTAAAGACAGGTAGGAAGGCCAGAAGTAGAGTACAGAGAGAGGGATATTGCATAGGAAAGGTCACAGAAACCCATAGAAATTAAACAGAAGAGTTAGCTTTGCAGATGTCATGGAGTAGATGGCATGAGTGTGTATGTGCCCAGAGGGGCACATTATTAACATATGGAAAAATCTGGGCACAAAGTAACTTCTGGATAATGTAAAAAAATTTCAATTTTACTCCATCTTGAAGGGAGCATGTTAGTGCTCTGTCTTCATTTGGTAGCAATTTGGTGGCAGTAGCATTGTCTCAACTGTATCATCCTCTCAGGCTTTTGATCAAGCTGAAACAGATTCTTTGTCCCAGAGCCCTGTTGAAAAAAAAATTTTTTTGTACCAGTTCATTCTGATTTGGTTCCTGTGCTCCTCTCTTCTAGCACAGAGTAGAATCACTTTTATCTTTTTCCTTGGACTAGGCATTAGGATTGTATTTCAGAGAGAAACAGGGTACTGTTAAAGGAAGGAGACTCTATGGATGCTAGATTAAAAAAAAAAAAAAAAAAGAATGGTTGGCTGCCAGAAAAATCACAATGAGTATATATAATCAGCCTACCCCAGTTTTGCATTTCAGATTCAACAGTGGATCAAAAGTATTCAGAAAAAATTCAGAAAGTCCCCAAAAGCAAAACTTGAAATTGCTGCTTACCAAATGCTACTCTGAATCCACATTAGTGCGTAAGAATTATATGAGGTATTACAAGTAATCTAGAGAGTGTGTAATGTGTATGGGAGGGTGTGTATAAGTCATTTGTAAATACTATGCCATTTTATATGAGGGACTTGAGTATCTGTGAATTTTGATGTTTGTATGGTAGGGGTGGAGGTTGGTCCTGGAACCAATTTGCCCTGGATACTAAGGGAGAACTGTGTACATGAAAATTTTTTAAAAAATATAATTCTAGATGCCTATGGATTTCCTAGCAATCCCAAGATCCTGGGTTAAGAAAGTTTAAAAGTAATACTGAATCATTGCTGTCTGGACCAAACAAAAAACAGCATCAGTAACTATAACCATCCAGGTGAATGAATTGTTACTGGAATTGTTTCCAGAATAAAGAAACAAAATTAGTATAATACATAACTAATGGTTGAATTGATAATATCCAAATTAAGAAGTAGTTACATTTTCTTATTATCTAAAGTGGAAGTGAATGGATTAATTGGGGCATATTTCTTTGCTATTATTCTGTATAAGAAAAAGGTAAATCTTTCATTCAAGGATGGACCTTATCCTGGCAACATTAGAAAACTTGAATTAAATAGAAGTGAAAGTTTTCTAATGTTGGCTCAACCACTGGAATTGCTATGGAAGCCTATGTCTGTATACATCTTTAATACCTTCAATTTAGTGCAGTTTTTTTAGAGTATTAAAGTAACTTGTAAAGGAAAATAATTTACTAATTTTTCTTCTTTATAGCTCTGTTTTATTTTGAAACATGTTGATGAAGTCACTTATTTTCTTAATTATTTTTAATTGAGGAATTTGGGAAAAATGGGTAGAAAGTATAGGTCATTTGTAGGAAAATATGAGTACTTTATTTAAAACGCCTACATAGTGATTGTGTATTTTTCATTAATATTTGGAAGAAAATAACCTTTTACAAGGTGGAGACTAGAGAAGTAGTCACTGGGATGGAAGTCATAATTATGTTTATTTTTCCATGGATTCCTTGATTTATTAACAAGGAGTTTGCCTGGGGTTATAAGTTGCTTCACTGAGCACAGGAGGAATTTTTCTTTATAGGTCAAAATCCTACTCAAAAATGGGAAGGAATTCCATGTTTGCTAGATGATTTTGAAGAATAAATGTGTTAAATGAAGAAAGGTGCATTGTTACCTTTTGTCCCTTCACATAAACAAAAAAATCTGTAAAGTTAGCACTGTTCCTCATGAATGCATATGTTTTGAAACTAGAACCTTCCATTTATGACTCAAGTCAGCCATTGCTGATGCTTTTTAAGTTTGATACACTTGGTTTTGAAGAAGTACTGCAAGTTACAAATGAAATAGAGCTATTTGGGGAAGATGACCAGTTTTCAGAATATTTCTACAAAGGCCATGGTGCATATGACTTAACTCTTTATTTTAAAAACAAAAACAACAACAAACTCCTCTCCCAAAGCCAATCTACCACCAATTCTTTCTTGAGTTAAGAGGTTCCTGCATCTCTTATCGATCTGTGTGTATGGGTTTGTTTTCAAACATGTCTTTACATGGTGTCAGTTACCCTTAACCAGGAAAGAGCAGTTAGTTTATTCATGGAAAACTGGTTTACAGATTTTCTTGTTATATGTTCCTTTCCTTATTTTTCAGATTCAAGTTTAATTTTAACCAAGATAGGAAGTTGCTTCTCTCTTGGAAATAGAGTTGAGAGAAGTGAATTTTTTTAAAGAATGAATCCATTCTAATCTGTAAGAAAAATTTTAAGTTATTCATCAGTTTTGGCTAAAACAAATCAATAAATGTTTTAAGGCTATGGGTTAAGGCAGGAAGACACTGTCATGCCTGTACTATTCTCTAAAGAGTAAAAGAGGACCAAAATACTGTAAGGGAAATTCAAACAGCATTTTTCTTATGCAGTGTCAAGTTCAGCTGTGTAGGTGTGAGTTTCAGATAAGATTAAATGCTTTTACAGATGTGAATTGTCCAAACATTCCCTATTATTAATTTTAAGGCCTTTGTAGGGGAGGAAGGAGAGAGTTTAGTTCAGTGCTCCAAAGCATAGATTTCTCAATACAGCTTCCTTTCTGAATAGGTTATGAGCTACAGAGTGGACAGAGGGAGAGAATCCATATCAAGATCTGAGTTCATTTCAGGACTCCTGAAGGCTTTGTTCACTGATTGGGATTTTTCTCTTAGGTAGGAGTCAGAGACAAAGCAGCTAATCTAAATAATCTTTGCCAGGTTTTCTCAAAGTGCCCATAGATGAAAACATGTCAGACAAATGTCAAAAAGATTCTGTCTGTTTGTTTACTTTAAATCCATTCTTTACTGAGATCGAAAAAAAAAAAAAAAAGAAAGCTGGAGCTTGGTGACAGATTTGGGTTCTTGCCACATTCTCAGCTCACTCTGTGGACATCTCACCACTTCATGGAAGGTTAATATTTTCCAGAGATGTTCCATAGGTATTCTAAATCACACGACAGACACCTGCTCCTATATATGGATATGTTGTGCACCTAGCATGAATCAGAGTTGGGGCTTTTTTTTCTTTAAATGTGCTTCCCTTC